AACACGTGGATGCGATATAGTGAAATAGTAAAATGCCCCCTCCCCCCCCCCCAAGCTGTACTGCGCACGATACCCCTATAAAATTTTGATTCGCCTCCATTTTTGTTGTGTAAAACTAATTGGTATTCCAGAACTGAATGTGGAACGTAGGCGGAAGCGGAAAACGCGGCGAGACACAGAACATGGCGACGATATCAACGAGGTAGAGATAACCGATCCGCTGATAGAATTGCTCATTGACAAGGAAACAAAGTAAGTGACGGCAGGATACCAGTTTCCGATGAATACGAAACGTATCATGATGAAGTTGAGTACTAGTTGTCACAAATAGCGCTGTGGCTAGGTGGAATGGTGCTGTGGCTAGAGGCGCGCTTCATCACTCACTTGACCGTCCAGCACCGTATCTGGGTTGAACAAACACCGGGAAGTTTTGAAATTAGTTTTTTTTCGGGTGGACCAGGCTTCACCATGCTCGCCACGGAAGTAAAACGACTGACCTTATGAAGTCGGATGTGAGACGTTGTTCAAACAGGGTATAGCCCAGCCCCTCCCAATCTCTAATTGACGGCGTCGCAGAACTACTGTACAACTACTATTTTGGACTATTTAGGTTACTTGGCGATGACCGACGTGGCCCCTCCCCGCGGCTCGACCTCAGTTTTCTTAGAAAAACTGGAAAATCTTAGGAGTGGGGAAAACTTAGAGTGATGATAGGAGGTAGCACGAGGAAAGAGGGAGGGTCACGAGGAAAAAAAGGGGGTAATGTCGCACGCCAGGGAATTTTAGTGGGTTGTACTGACACGACCATCTCACTCATCACAGACGCGAACACGATGCGGCTCTACTGCAAATTTTTAGTTCGTAGTTTTCAAAGCTTTGATTTTCCCTGAACTCTTTTCAGGTATCAAGTCTTGTTGTCATCCACTATTATGCCAATTCATACCTCTTTACGAGAAGCGTTAGTAAGCGGATACAAGGCTTTCGACGACGTCGAAAAGGTATTATTGACATCTTCTCTTGAATTATTATTTATCTTTATTTAATCTTAAATCAAGGAACAACAGTGTTTCTATGGTATGCACCTCTCAGAACACTCTTCCGATGGAATTTGGAAACTGTTGTTCTGGGTTTTTGGGACTTTTGCAGAGCTTTAGGATATGAGCCCCGAGGGAAGCTATGGCCCATTTCGAGCAAAAGAATCCCTCAGATTGCGAATTATGCTAATTAGCAAACTACCAAATACCCCTCTCCCTTGTGGCCGAACTGATAAGCAGTGTCCAGAGTGTTTCAACATACTTGTGCCTCACGAGGTCGTTAGGTGGAAGAAAAGTTTTTTCTACTAACAGCGTTCTAGTGTGCGGCGGACCTATCCGCTCAAACGGCGGTACCACTGGCCTCTGAAGACGACGATTATGTGAAACCTAAGTCGTTTATAATAATGTTCCACCTAACAACCTCGTAAGGCATAAGAATATTGAAACACTTCTAGTAACATGTCGAGGTTGTAACGAATAGAGAAGCTGGAGAGTGTCTAGAGAAGTTTCAGAAGGTATGACATTCTTACTGTTGTGTACTGGTTTCAGTATGCTGCGAATCCGATGCCTGTCGGTTATTCCACGAATTTTTCATATTGGCGTGCAAAAATTCTGTCGGTGATAGTTGAGTGGGCAAAATCGTTCGAGGTATTTCTAAAGAATTTTTCATGCTACATGACCATGCTCTGTTCTATTTTTTTAACCCAGGGCTTATTCACATTGTTCAGGTGTTCAGCCGACTTGCCCTTGATGATCAAATGCGGCTCATAGTGCATTCATCATTCTCCAACCTCGTACTAGCCGAAGCTTTCAATACCCCTGAGAAATACACTGACCGTATTGTTTTCCCCGATGGCCTCAGTGGGTGAGTGATTACGTGGAGATTTTCAGCGTCCACTTATTTTATCAGAGAGAAATTCCGCCAGTTATTATGTTCTCTTCTAATATTATTTTATACTTCTTGCTCATTTTGTAGCGAATGTACGCTCCGCCCGCTCCAGGCGATCACCCCCCCCACGCCTATCAGCTGGCCTTGGTTGTTCTTTTCATCCTCTTCCTCTTCCTCCTCCTCCTCTCCTTCTTCTTCCTGTTCCTGTCCTGTTCCTCTTCCTCTTCCTCTTCCTTCCATTGCTTACTCCCGTTCGCTAAACTGTCTGGAACGGGTTGTGAATTGTTCTTACAAGCACGGTCTGTTTAGGGAATGGACCCACTCTAAAAATCTTCCCTCGCTGTCCCTGTCTTATTCACCTG